CCCGCGTCTCCTGCATCGGCAGGCGGACTCTCAAGCACTGCGCCACCAGGGAAGCCCAGGGCTCAGTTCTTAAATGTGAATAAATACTCATGGCAGCCAATGCAATTCGAAAATCCTATGAAATCCGGGAAATTTAGAAAGTGGGGAGTAATAGGCAATCCTCCAAAGATTCTGAGGGACAGAGTAGTTCCTTCATATGCAAACCACTCCCCCCCACTTATAGAATGGGTGTGTGGCCCTCAAGAACCAGGCCAGTGCTGACTTTAAAGCTAGGAGGAAGCTGGCACCCTGATGATGATGGAAAAGTACCTACAGGGCTGGCTCATACCATCTGCCAGCAAACCTTCCGGCCATGGAATCTTTGGCTATGAAAGAACCCCATAGGTCACCAGCCCCTATCTCTGCAGGCCCCTCCAGCAGAAGGACCCCCATCTGGCTGGCCCTCAATCATTAAAGACCAAACACTTTGTGACCCCAAGTGATTCTGCTACTCAGCCAAGTTGGGGAACACCTGACCCCTTGAACACAGCCAGTGCTGCCGGAATCTCTGCGTCACAAGCGACTATTTAATTAGTTTTTATGTTGAATTAAAATCTGTGCCGCTTTAAGTCGATGACTAACTAGTTCCATTTCTCCCTCTGGAGCAACACAGAATGAATACACTTCCTCTTCTCCAGGACAATCCTGTAAACACTTGAAGTTGGAGCATTGAGTGCCCAATATCCATCTCTTATCCAAGAAAAATGCCTCGATTTTACTTGACTATTTCTCACCCATTTTATTTATTTCTCCATCATTTATTAAGAGGCGATAATGTGCACGTGACATAACAGAGCCTGTCCACAAAGTGTCTGTTAAAAGAGTAAATAATGACTCTCATACAAATATAAAATAACTACGTGTCAAAGATTTGATTTAACTCATGAATAAATGAGGGAACCAGTAGATATTAAAAAAGAAATAGTTTAAAGGAGAATCCAAAAGAACAATTAGGAATGCTGAATGGAATTTGTTAATAGATGCAAAACTGAGGGAGGGAATCCGTTTGGTTGCACTTCTATCCAAAGAAGTTCATTTGCATATACATGGACAGTAATTATTTGCATTACTATCGATTTCTACAATGCACAGAGTAGTAAAATATCCTGAAGACTGTGAAAGACACAGACCGCTGCAGATCTGACCCCTGGCAGGGTGATTAGGCTTCATCTAATTCCATAGAACACCAGGAATACTTTTTAATTCCAAAGACTTTTCAGTTTTTCCTGACAGATCATTGTTTCACTAAAAAATCCTGAATATTCAAATCTCAAACTGTCCTTCAAGATTGACTAAAATGCCACTTTATCTGGTCTTCCTCAGACTAAAGGATAATTTTTTTTTTTTAAAAAAGGTAAAATCATGACTCACATACGGATATAAAATGAACAAGTTTTAAAGATTTTATTTAACTTATTAATTAAATGAGGCAACTAAGCATACGTTATGACTGATTCAAAGGAAAAGTCAAAGAGGCACAGATGTATATGAAGTAAAGAATAAAGAATATTGAAATGAATGTGCAAATGGACTCAACTGGCTTCTCCACGGTGGGGAGGGCGATCCCCCGCCCCGCACTGAACAGAATTAATTTGCATATAGAGAAAAATTATTTTGTACTGCTACTGTTATCTACAACTTTGGGTTGTAAAATGACTCAAAAACAGTGAAAGGCTGGAATCGGATAACTTGGGAGGAGGTGCTCTAAACCAGACTTTCTCAGCCTTGGCATTACTGACATTTTGCGACTAACAATTGTCACTTCCCATCTGGTTCTCAAAGTTGCTGACCTTCAACACCCGCTGAAAGGAGTTCAGGGTGGAGATCAGGAATGAGGCACTCTGTGCTCTGAGAAAAACTGGCAGAACAGGCCTTTAGATAGTTAGATATTTTCAGGAGAAGATTTTATGAGCCCAATTTCTTGCACCTTCTCACATCTAGGAAAGCACTAAAATCATTCATGGAGACATCTGCTCCTTGTGACTGGCTGCAACCTTCTGCCAAGATGTGAGCTTGACTGTATGTATCCCCGTCACCAAAATCACATGTGTACTGTCCATGTATCCTCCTCCCTACATCTTCGGAGAGTTCCTCAGAGCTGAGAGGCTGTCTCCCAGGCTATAATTCTCATTTTGCCCCCAAAAAACTTAACTCACAGCTCTCACGTTGTGTTTTTTTCTTTCTTTTTTTCAGTCGACATGGACCACGTAATTCTTTGTTTTGTGGGGAGCTGTCCTAGACATCCAAGATATTTAGCAGCATCCCTGGCTTCTACGCAATAGAGGCCAGTAGCACCCCATCATAACAAAAATTATCTCCAGACATTGCCAAGTGTCGCCCAAGGCCGGGAGGAGGGGGCAAATTCACCCTCAGTTAAGAAATACTGCTCTAGGGCTTCCCTGGTGGCACAGTGGTTAAGAATCCGCCCGCCAATGCAGGGGACGTGGGTTTGAGCCCTGGTCCGGGAAGATCCCACATGCCACGAGCCACAACTACTAAGCCCACGCACCACAACTACTAAGCCCACGCACCATAACTACTGAAGCCCTCACGCCTAGAGCCCGTGCTCCGCAACAAGAGAAGCCCACATACCGCAATGAAGAGTAGCCCCCCTCGCCACAACTAGAGAAAGGCCACGCGCAGCAACGAGGACACAACGCAGCCAAAAATAAATAAATAAATTTTTAAAAAAAGAAAAAAAAGAAATACTGCTCTAAACAATGCATAGCTTTCCACTGAAACACAAATTCTTCCATATTAGCGCAGAGATGGAGAGGAGGGGACGACCACACTCCTTGGCACACACCCATTCCTGTGTATGAGCCAAGAATCTCACGCTTCCTCTTCAATGAGCAGAACGGTCACAGTGGCCCCTAACACAGGCAGTGTTCTAAAGGTTTTACCAATATGGACTCCGTCCCCCCAGTTAAAAGTGAGTTTCAGATAAATAGCAATTAGAGAAGAAGAAATTTTCTTCCACCCTTCTATGTTCTTCCGGCTGGTCTAAAAATTAAATTGACATGAGGCAGGTTAACAAAAGAAAATCAAATAAAAGTTTAATACCATGTATACATGGGAGAGGTCCAGAAAAACTGAGTAACTCGCCAAACTGGCTGAAGCCCTCTCCTTAAACACCATCTTCAGCTAAAGACAAATGAGGATGTTGGTGGTAGGGGTTTGGGACTTCAAAGGGGCAGAAGACAATTGACTTGGAGATGGAAAAGCAAATATTTGGTAAATAGATGTTTGCTGGGCCAGGTGGAGACAATGGGACACAGGGAGGAATCTGGTCTCTAGGCCAGTTTTCCCCACCACAGTGAGCCCATATTCTTTGCACATATCTCTGGTGATGGCTCTCTTCTGGAAACAGGCCCTTTATCTAAATTCTTTAGGCAGTTACCGGGAAGGTCAAATCTTCCTGAGTCGTTTGGGCCTTGACTGTTTTCAGCTCAAAATAATCCGCATGCCAGAGAGATATTTTGGGGTGGCAAATTTTGCTCCCCTACGTAGGAAATAATATTTTAGTTTCAGTATGCCCCCGTGCAATATTTGGGATATACTTATACTAAAAATCATTAGTGTTTACCTGAAAATCAAATTTAACTGGGTGTGTTACCAAACACAAGTTCATGTGCCTGACACACAGCAAGCCCAAACAAACCAAAACAGAGTTTGGAGCAGAGAAGGGTTTATTGCAGGGCTATGCAAGAAGGCTGTCTCATGCTTAAAATGCCCCGAACTTCTCCAAGAAGTTCAGCAAAGCACTTTTAAAGGCAAGATGACGGAGGGGCGTGGTTAGTTGTTGCAAACTTCTTGGTGTTGGAATCCTTCCTTCTTGTAGCTGTTCGCGTTGGTCAGGTGAAGATGTTCCTGTAAACGTCCAATGAAACAAAAGCTATTCTCTGTTCTGCAACTTTTTATCTCTATATGAATGTACTCTTAAAGGTCAGAGCCCTGAGAATAGGCTATCCTGTATATTTCAGGCTGTAGATAACATTCTTTTACAAAAGGTTCAGAGCCAGCATGACTAAACACAGGCAACAAAACAGATCTAATGCGGAGTCAGATTTGTTCTTTCCTATCACGGGTGGATGTATTTTTATTTGCCAAATCTGGCCACCCTATCTGTGATCACATAGCTAACCAGTAGCAGTGTGTAGCTACTGGTCATGATTGTAACATGCCTCTGGTGACTTAGAATCCCTGTTCTGCCTCTAATTAGTTGTGCAACATTGGATGATGTCATTGAACCTCTCTGATGCTCAGTTTTCCCATCTGTCAAATGGGGACTATAGCGGAGGGACAACCTACTCACAGAGCTAATTTAGTCCCCTGGAGCTCTCTCCCCGATCTTCTGACTCACAGGGTGTGTCCTGGAGAGTCAGGACAGCCCCAGCCTCGCGTTTCGCCCAGGGTTGGGTTTGAGTCCCCACTTTTCCACCAGGACGCCCAGGTGCACGGCGCGAGCCGGCTCGGCCATCCCAGGCGCCGGCCGCAGGTGGCAGAACCGGCCCCGTAGGCCGCCGCCGCCGTCCTCCCACCGGCGCTGTGCAGGCCGCCGGCCGGCAGGATCTAGGGCCGCGCGCCGAGCTGGCGGGGAGCGGCCAGGCCACGCCCCGACGCGCGGAGTGCGCTGCCCTGCCGGGTGAATCATCACCCGCGGCGGCCGCTCCCAGTCCCGCTGCCGCGCGCCGAACGCTGGCCGCGCCCCTGCGGAGCGCCGCGCGGAGCAGCCGCTGAGACCCCCGCTCGCTTGCTGGGCGGCAGCACGGACACTGGGCCGACCATGGCGGGCATCGCGGTCAAGCTGGCGAAGGACCGGGAGGCGGCCGAGGGGCTGGGCTCGCACGAGAGGGCCGTCAAGTACCTCAACCAGGACTACGCGGCGCTGCGGGACGAGTGCCTGGAGGCCGGGGCGCTCTTCCAGGACCCGTCCTTCCCGGCCCTCCCGTCTTCCCTGGGCTTCAAGGAGTTGGGACCCTACTCCAGCAAGACCCGGGGCATAGAGTGGAAGCGGCCCACGGTAGGCAGCGGGCCCGCGGCGGGACGCGGGGCGGGCGGTGCGGGCGGGGCGCGGAGACCGGAGGCGCGGCGACCGGGCCTCGCGGCAGCCGAGAACCAGGCCCAGCGCGGGGAGCCCGGGGAGCGCGTAGAGCCGAGCCCCGCAGCCGGGAGCCCCGTCCCCGCGCTGCCCAGCCGGGGACTCTGCAGGCGCGGGGTTGGGGGAAGCTCCGCGGTCGCCCGTGTCCCCTCTGCCACCCACGGCGCCCGCAGGACGGGCCGAAGTGCACGCTGCCCGTAAATCCCATTAGCGGTCCCGCCAGCAAAAACTCACAAAAACTGGGTTGATATAGGGGGAACCTGGAGAAAACTTGTTGGACTCCGGAGGGGAGAGAGTCTGCGGAGAAGGGAGGCAGGGTGCCGGGGGTGGGGTGGGTGTGGGGTGAGTGGGACCCTATCCAACTGGGAAAAGTCAGTCTCTAACTCGGTTAGGCTGCTTCAGGAAGGGAGAAAGTCCACGCCTGGCCTGGTCCTTTGTGACTAAGGATTGCCTCATGCAGTCACGGTTAGATTTATCCAGTCGGAGTTTCCTGTTTATTTTTCCAAATGGGGGCCGACCTCCCTGTAACATTTACCCTGGGGATTATCAAAAGGACAGGGGAGATGCAGCCAGGAGCCAGTTCCTGCACCTTACTCACCCTCCCAGAATCCTCACCCCTGCATCTCAAGGGCCCCTCGGTGTTCCCTTATCCCTCCCCGCTGGGTCTCTGTCCTCCTTGCCCTGGCAGGCCTTAGAACAGTTTCCTTCCTGATTAGTTTGTCCATCCTATTTCCCCTGGAACCCCTCCTGGCCCCATGTCCTATGGGACACCTCACCGATCTTCCCCCATCAAACCTCAAGGAGGCTTCCTGGGAAATACAGCCTCCAGACTCCTGTTAGGGAAATAAACATTCCTGCCCTGCTCCCACTTCTCTGAGCCCCTCACCCCCACCCGCTAGTCACCTTCTGTTACTCCAAACCCAGCCCATAGGCAGCAAGCTCAGTAGGAAGTGTCCTTGGCCTGGAGCACCTGAGTTCATTTCTTGCTGACCTGCGTGAGCCGTTTAACCTCCCTGCCTCCATTTCTTCGTCTAAAAGAAGAGATGATGCCTACATGGTTTCCTCTCCCCACTGGCGCACCAGGCCCAGCACCTTTTAGTTTCTCAAGGGCACCCATCTCTTTCCTGCCTCACCTGCCAGGGATACTGTTTCCTGGTTTTCTGGAGTCTGGCCTACTTACTCTTTGGGACTTAGTTAGATGTCACCTCCCCAAAGAGATCTTTCCTGACCATTCTTAGCAGCCCCCTTCTCATCTTGTTATTCTTTATCACTGAACCCTGCTAATTTCCTTCATAGCATTTTCACAACTTATAAATTAATTACATATATTTGTTTGTCCTTCCTAGTGAACTGCAGGGACCATGTGTGTATTGTGCACCAATGTATCCCCAGTGCATTCAGAGTATGCATTCGTTCGTTCATTCATTCATTTAACAATACTTATGGAGTGCCTGTTATATGTCAGGCAGTGTCTTAAATGCTTGGGATACGTCTGTGAACAAAGACTGTGACTATTTGTGGAATGAGTGAATGCAAGACTAATTAGCCTCAAACAGAATTACAGCTGTGAAAGTGATAAACGAGAATGTATTCGCCTTACATTTGTATAGCACTTTACAGTTTACAAAGTGAATTTACATACTTCTTTGCTTATTCGTTCATTGACTCAATAAGCGTATCTTGAACACCTACTGTATGGCAGGCACAGTGCATATGGTTTCTGCCTCTGAAGGCTTTAGGGGCTAGTGAGGGGACACAGACAGGTCACCCAACAGTTGGAAATGCCTGTAGGACTTCCAGATGGGGAAATAGAGATCCGAGGCCATTTTAGGGCCCCAGATTAGGGCGGGACAGGGTGTGCACTGCACATCCAAGGGGGAGGGTAGCTGTTATTGTCCCATTCGGCAGTTGAAGAAATTGAGGCTGGGAAAGGTTAGCTATTCGCTCATACAGGTGTCTGGGGTGGAGCCAGGACTGTGTCCAGCCTATGGGTGTCGAGAGCCACAGCTCACAGCCGCACTCTCTGCCTTCTCCAACACCGCTGTGGTTCGGGTCAGGCAAGGCGAACAGACACGTGTCCACTGGATCTAGACGGAAGCAAGTCATTGGTAACTGTAACAGAGCAATTGCAATGGCATAGAATTGCAATGGGGTAGAAGCTGGATGGCTGTAGACCCCAAAGTAAGGAACCGGAAATGAAGAGCATGCCCAGCTAATTCCAGAAGGGTGCCTGTGAAAGGAGAGGAGGAAAAGTGTCAGGGAGAGTGGGACCTGGGGCTTGACAGGCTGGTTTTCAGATGAGAGCAATTGGAATGTGTTATATGTCAGGTCCCAGAGAGAAAAGCAGGGGGGAGACGGTGAAATGGAGCCACAAAGAAGTGAGAGTAGGGTTGCAGGAGGGAGGCAGGGGAGCAGACCAGCCCTGGAGCGGGGGCTGCTTCTCTGGCCACAGAGGGCTGGGGGCTGGGAAGGAGGCTGAAGAGCACATGGCTGCAGTCCCTGTGGCTGACGCAGAGGCACAGCGAGGAAAAAGCCGGCACCCTCCGAGGGTGCCACCAGTCAGGTGGGAGCGAGGGCAGGTGTGTGAGTCCCCACCTTGCCCTGAAACATCTAAGGCCTCTGAGTGGTTTATGATTTGTTTACACTCAGCTGGCTGAACTCAGCCTCAAACCTGCATCTCCTGCCTCAAGTTCAGTGATTATGATCAACTCCTCCAGTAATAATTAATAGTAGGTGACTTTTATAGAGCTCTTACCAAGGCACGTGTACACAGTCATCTCATTTGACCCTCAGAACAACCTGATGTGGTAGGTACACTTGTCAGCACCATCCCCATTATACAGATGAGGAAACTGAGGCTTAAAGAGGTGAAGTAACTTGCCAGGGTCATAGAACCCATGTAAGAAGTGACAGAGCCAGAATTCAAACCCAGGTTGTCTGACTCCAAGGCCCAAGCCCTCAGCCCCTTTCCTGGGACTGTTAAGTTCCGTATTTAATTCTGTGCCCTTCATGTTGTGTACCAGTTTCAATCTCCTGAAGCATCTCTAAGGGCCACTCTGAACTTTTCCTTCTTTAGAGAGGGTGCCAAAGGTGTGAGGAAGTTTCTCAAATATAATGGAAAAATCCTTCTAGGGTAAGTGCCTGGCACACTGAAGATTGTCAGTATGATTTTTGGGCTCCCAGCACCAAACCCAGTCTCTTCCATCAGTAGGATAAGTGTTTGGCTGGCAGGCCTTGGGCAAAGCTGGCTTCATTTGCCTTAGCAGAAAAGCATTCACACTGTCCCTGTCATTCCCCCAAACAGCCCAGCCTTAACAGGGAAGGGACAATGCAGAGGCATGAAAGGAGGGTGTTCTGCTGCGGATTCCAAAAGAGCCGAATCCAGAAGGTTAGATACCTTCCCCTGCCCTCAGGAAGCGTGTGAGTGTTAGGAAGACAGACTGGTTACCCAGCACCACCACATAGCACACAACTAGCTGCTAAATTGCAGAGTGCACATACTCCGGGATTCAGTATCAAAAGGATGGGTGAGGGCTGGACTGTGAAGGAGAGCTTCGTAGAGTTGGTGGCAGTGGGTCTTGAGATACGGTGAGATGTGGAAAAGGAGAGAACGGGGCGGGGGGGGGAGAGGGAGAAATTCCATGCAGGAGCAGAGGAGAGGGACCGGCACAGCGGGCGGGGCAGCTCCAGAGCGTGGACCGTCTCAGGGCCCCCAGAGGAGGCTGGACTTGGCACTGCCCTGGCCCTAGGAAGGTAGCGTGATGAAGTGGGCTGTAGGCAGTGTGGAGCGTTGGGGTCCCGTGGCAGTCTAACTGTAACTGCATAGCTTTCCCTAGAGGGGATGGGAAGGGGCGGAGGGGGTCCGATGCACCTTCTGGGAACCGAGGTGTCCCGACTACAGAAGCACATGCCAGGTGGGTTGACAGCACTTTGTGGGTCTTGTTTTCAGGAGATCTGCGATGATCCCCAATTTATTACTGGAGGAGCCACTCGCACAGACATCTGCCAAGGAGCCCTGGGTAAGTGATGATATCTCAGACAGGCTATGGGGGCTTGTCTGAAAGGCTGTGGATAGAAGGCATGAGGGATGATCTGTGGCTCCGCTCCCTTGCCAGAGAGTTTGGCAATTTCCAGTTCTAGAAGCTTCCTGGCATGTCTTGTCCCCTGAGGACCCCGTGCTGCGGCAGACAAATGCACAGATGTGCAGCGAGGCCTCCTGGGTCCCCTGCACTAGGCTAGTTGTTGAAGTTACAAAGACACTCCCACTGGAAGACGGAGGAGCTTCTGGATCTCAGTCACCCTTGGTGTCTGTATGTCTCGGGGCCCGTGTTGCTAGTGGCCCACGGAACAGTCAGGCTCCGGGCTGAGGGGCAGGTGGGAGGACTGGGCCAGGTGGGAGGACTAGCCCAGGCCCGGTTGCAGCACTGAGACATCAGTTCTCTGGGGTTCAGGGGTGGGATGGTGACTCAGTGTGTGGAGGAAGAGGAAACCCTACCACTCACTGCTGGGAGGAAGTTAACGTACCAGGGCATTCTCAGTGTTTGCAGAACGAGCTCACCATGGTATCACAACAGTGAATGTGGTGCTTATGGTCACAGAGGCCATTGGAATGTTCATTTAAGTTAAGTTCAACTGGAGCAGCTGAATTGTGAGGGTCTGAAACTTTGATCTCTGTAGCTGAGCTCTGATTTTCTGGACATGGTGCCTGCTGAGATTGGAACCTGCTCCAGCTTTGGCATGAAAGCCCCCAAGTTTTCTTTTTTTTTCTTTAATTTATTTTATTGAAGTAAAGTTGATTTACAGTGTTGTGTTCATTTCTGCTGTACAGCAAAGTGATTCAGTTATACATATATTCTTTTTCATATTCTTTTCCATTATGGTTTATCATAAGATATTGAATATAGTTCCCTGTGCTATACAGTAGGACCTTGTTGTTTATTGCTATACAGGACCCGAGGGTTCTGCAAAGAAGTCTTAACGATGGGGCCTGGGATCCCTATTTAAGATTCTCATAGAATCCACTCTCATTTTTTTTACTCATAATAGATATGGGCCTATGATTGCTGGAGCAGATTATTTGCTGCGAATAACCAAAAACTTGTTTCGAGCCATCAGCTCCAACTTACTTTCCACACTAGTCTATCAGTAACAAAATTAATCATCTTGAATTGTACCTTCTTTCCTGGCCCACCCAGCAGAGGTTCTGTCCTGGGAGTGACTTGTTTGAGGTCATCCAACAGCTGAAGTGAGGGCCTGGAATGCAAATGCAGACAGTCTGTGTGTTTAACCCCTGAGCTAGGCTCCCCGGAAGGGGCATGGAAAGTTTTCAGTCTCTGAGGGATGTCAGGGCATTTGTGTGAATCGTTGGGACAGGCAACTGGGAGCCCCTTGTGAAATGGGTCTCCGAGAGCATGACCCAGGGCTGGGCGTGCAAACACTGCTCTCTGAGCTCAGCCTCTGTGTGCAAATTCCTGAGATGCCAGAGCACATTCTTACCCACAGAAAACAAACCTCCCATTTCCCACCTTCTTTCCCCCACGAAAGAGAGATGCACAGGGGGCCTAGGGCACCTAGGTGGGTGCTCCAGGAAAATCCATTGGTTAGAGAAAATGGAAGTTAACAGGGCTAGAAGTTGATGGAGACTTCGACCAACCATGGGGGCTTTAGGAAATCTGGAAACAAAAATGACAACTGTCGTACCTGGGCTAAATTCCACACTAGACTAAACATCTACTTTAAAGTTTAATGACATCTTAAGGGCCAAATTGCAAGATTTAAGTCCTGGTTAAATACTGTCAGGCCATTTGGAGAGGAGACTCGCAAAGCTTACACTCCCTGGGGTAAAAATCCCCATGATATGCACCAAATCAAATAGAAACAAGATTAAGTGTAAGTCCTTTAAAACATTTCTCAGTAATCAGGTCTGTAATTTCTAAGGTTTTTTTTACACCACATTGGCCATTTTGTTTTCTTGGCCTTTTATTTTGGAGGATCTGGGTTTGATTACGATCTGTGAAGTGTGATGGACTGAACTCTCACTCTGATTCTGGCATCCGGACACAGGGTGGGCATGGGGTGGTGACTGTCACCAGGTCCCAGCAGGTTCAGAAGCATCAGGAACAGGGGGGCCGTGGCAGTGACACCTGGCCACACAACCAGAGATACGAGTCAGGGCTCAGCTCTTAGTTGGCAGACCGTGGGCACGTCATCATTTGGAAGCTCAGTCTCTTCTGAAAATGGGAGGGAGGCGGAGAGTCAACGGGGTGACCTCAGAGATTCCCTACGATGGGGCAGTCAGCTATTCTAGAGTCATTCCTCATGCCTGACACTGAGTGTAAATCTTGTGCTAGAGAATCAAAGCACCGAGGGCAGATCTCTTATCTCAGAGCAGGAA